ACTCCTGCCTGACCAGTCATCGTCATTGGTCCATTTACAGGTCTCTTCATCCTCCTTCATTTCTGCATTTGTAATGATGAAATCACTAACTCGATAATAATAAAAATAAGTACCTGACTCGTGAAATCACAAGAAAAAGACCTTTCAATAAGCCTCGTTTGTGTACACACAGCTCATTTCTTTTTCATTGATTGGCCTCCATGGTGCAAATGATCAGCTAATCAGTGTAATGCTCCTTACTTGTCACCGACCCACAGCTAACTTTTATTACATTTGCTCCTTTATAATAATACCATGACTGCGCTTCTGAAAAATCATCCAGGCCAAGGTAAGCTTGTGGACGAGCATTCACGCTGGTCTCTTTTCTGACAGCAGATGATGTAGTCAACCCCCCAGAGGCGGAAGTCACCCCCGGGCGCTCATTCTGAAAAGTGCAAGGAGACACTGCAAAAACAGACATTAATTGCTTTTATAATTTAATGTAGATCTACTCGTTAAAATTTTAAAATATCCCCTACAGGCATATAATTAGAAAGAATATATATCAAATTAGTAGAGAAAATAGTTAAACTAATAAACGAACAAACAGAACTAGTCACAAGTAAACTGGGAAGGGAGGGAAATGGGAGAATACAAAGCAGCACCAAAGGTAGAAATACATAAATGCATTCAGGCACATTGGCCATCGTAAAAAGGCACAACAACAGGTTGTCCAGATGTGACAAGTAATCGGACCGCATTTTTAAAATTCAACTACAGAGACATTTCCTCCATTTCGCAGTATTTTCCACTCCTCGTTTACAGATTCATCTGGGCATTTATTAACTTCTGGTAATATTTATTTATCGTTCCCTTAATAAACTGAACGTCAGACTAATTCCCGGTGTAGCACAACCGTCATTACCTGTCCGTGTGGGCTCAGCCACATCACACATTTAATCCATGTGGCCGTCTGTTCACCCTTTTCCCCGTCTATTGATATTCATTTTCATTATTACATCTTTTATTGATGAACAAAGTGTCACTCTCGTCATTTTTATTCGTTTGTACATTTGCCTATTTATTGGGCCATGAAATCTTTAATAATCATATTTTTAAAATTCATGAACTCCAAGGCAAGAGCAAGTGCCTGCTGTCTCCCCGACATCCGCCTGCAGGCCCCTGTCCTAACAGGCACGTGCCCTGCTCGCCCCCCGTGAGGGCTGCAGGCCCCTCGTGGCCTGCGGGTTGTTGTGGGTCCAAGACTGGCCTTTGGTCTCTGTTATCCACATCTGTTTGCTGTCTAGTTCATTAATAAAGAAACATAAGTCACAAAAAAACAAGAATAAGACTCTTGACGAGTTCATTGGTTAAGGTTTTGCCCTCTTATTCCTCATCTTTTCAGGTTAGTTCAATAATTCACCATCTACACGACCGCTTCCAGGAACACCCAGTCCCTTTCGTGAGCTCTCATATATGGATTTGCATGGATCAATCAGTGCAGTGTTTCCTGTTACTCTGATACTTAACATGGACATGTCTCGTCCTCTTTGATTATATTAACACTTTAGAGTAACACAGTGAAAACCCTTTCTGAAAAAAGGAAAACACTTAAACAGAAACATTGGTTACTACTCACGGGGGTCTCCGAGCACGCAAAGGCCACAGTCTCAGAGCCCCGACCATGGACATCACGTGGCAGCTGGGCGCGTCCAACCTACAGAGCACAGAGCACAGCAGAGCCACGGAAGAGATTGGGACATCATCTCCAGGGGCCCTGGTGCCACCGTCACTAAGTCAGCCATGCAGGTGGTTAGTAACCTGTGATCGTATCTACTTCACTTCCTCTTAAGCGACTGAACGCCATCAACACCACCACTCGCAGGAAATGAATGTGGCTCCTGTGGCTGCCCGCACCAAATTCACCCAAAAGAGCAGCATCTCGTGCTGCTTCTTTCCATTCATCTTTGGGGTTTGCGGTGTCATAATAGTGTTTCCTACCAGACCCCACAGTTTTATCAATGGACAATGCCTCGCCCCATCCTCCCCACTTGTAACGTGTGTATTGGTATGTTCACTGGCTCAGTTATATGAGCAGAATACAAATGAGCGGAAACGAAGGCAAACACAGGATCCTACACAGCCTGGCGCCGGTGGAGGTCCAGCACGGCCGTGTTCTCCCTTATCTATTTATTTATCTCTCTCCGATGAGTCTATCATTGATTCGTCAACGATAATGCATCTAAGTCTACAAACCCCCAATAAGAACATGACCTTCATACGTTTCTGATGTCTGTCTGCATCGTCATCTCCAAAGCAGGACTGGACTCACCACATGATGCGTTGCGTCAGGTTGCAGTTACAGTCCTTTTTCATCCCCAGGACTCATCCCCCGCCATCTTCCTCCCTGGCCCACGATTCTGTCTCTTTTCTGTTCCTTCAAGTCTGTGTGTATATCCACAAAATCACTAATTACTCGATGATAACAAAATAAGTGCAGGATTCACAACAAGTAAAACAAGGGGAAGGTCCTCTCTGGCATCCGTCTGTACAACCACTTCCCACGTGGACCAACCTCCTCCTCTGGGAATCAAGCTCAGTGTGACGTTCCCAAGCAATCACCATGTTTCCCATCAGATTTATTATTGGGCAATAATTAACTTCTGATTAATTTAATAATTTTAGAAATACTGTCAAACCCATAACCTAGTGACCTGGAGGAAGCCAAGATCTTTGGCCATTTGTTACTCACGTGGGTCTCTTTCTCGACACAGAGGCCGCATGACCGTCTTGACGACGGCAGAAGTGGACACCTGCTCAGCACCTGCCCTGAGAAGTACAAGCAGAGAAGCTGATACGAACACTGAGACCGACTCTCCATTGGCCCACCGCTGCCTCCATTCATGTACCTAGTCCTTTGGGTATTTCAGTGAGGACTAGCAATAAGTATTTTTCTCTTCAATCAAATGTCAAAATTGTAAGTATTGCTAATCACTGTCTATGGCCTATATCACACATAGGCAAGACAGAATACACCTGCTGTATTTATTACTTATTCCAACCTATGAATATCAATTTTATTTATTACAGTTTAGCAATAAATGATGCTTCGCCCTTTTCGTCTTACTCATTTGTTCGTGAATTCTGCCACTGACGTTTTTGTACTAATATTTGGACCCCGAAGGTCCAGACACATATTTACCAAATGTGTCACTAGTCACGATCATTGGTTAAGGTTTTGTCCTCTTACTCCTCATCTTTTTAGGTTAGTTCAATAATTCACCAATAATCACAGAATAAATTCACCCATCACAAAAACCCTACAAGTTTCTTGAAATTGCCCAACATCTGTCTGCAGAATTATTCCCTACAGAGGCCACAGCTCTTCCCGTGCTTGGCCTCCATGTTTAACTTACCCATTAACCAACCTCACGCTTTCTATCAACACCAGCTTCATCATGAGGCTACGGTTGGTTTTTGTGATTATGTTTCACAGGTCTTTACACAGTCAACACCCTTGGGCAAGCCACCCAAAGCTCAACTAGAAATGGCACTGACTCACGGTGGTCCCCACGCAGAGGCCACCGCACCGCTTTCAAGCACGGGGACCGCGGCAGGACCTTACAGACCATCGAGCATCCGTCCACCCGGAGAAGCACAACGCGGAGCAGACGATGAAAGGCACCTTCTCTCTGGAGACCATCACTTTCCACCTCTCGTCTTCTTAAGCCATAAACGTTTGCTAGTTGATGCTAAAAATTACATCTCTTCTCCAAAAAAGAACAGCGTGGGACTCACCCCTGCTCCACAGCAATTCCACTGTCGCTGTCCCTCTGTATATGACAATTGGGCAAAGAGGTCACACACCCTCCATCTGTTTATCCCCTAAGAGACATTAGTACTTCCTGGTTATGATAATGGCATTGTGTCCCCTTATATTTTCATCATTGTTGATGCTTCACAGTCCTCATCATTATTCATTTATGTAATTGTATGGATTAGTTGTTGACTCTTGCATAATAATACAACAGAAATTAATGAAGCCCAGAAGCCCAGAGAGAAGATCTTTGTGCTCCTGACCTGCCCGGAGGATCGCTCCCGACAGAGAGGACAGACTCGGTCTCTCCTGCGTCGTCCCTCGGAGTCCCGGCACGTCCCGTGTCTTGCGCACCACCAGCTGCCCATCACTGTCAGGATTTGTCCTCTTTCCCCTCAGTCATGTCTGTATCTTGATTTATTAACTTTTCAATTGACTAATAACAAAATAAATTTACATAATCACAATAACCCCAAAACAAGGCTCTCAAGTCCCCTTCTTGCCACTAACAATGGTGGTTGGCACGAACCCACCAAGGCCACACGTCCCACGCGGAGCCCACCATGGGCCACGGTTTAGCAGGAAAGGGCATGTTCTTAAACAGCTCACCCACACCGACTCCTGTTGGTCCCCACGCACCTCACACGGGGTCCTTGGCCATGGTAGAGGTCATGACTCAGCTTGGTGTAGCCACTCTGAGTGTGAACAACAGAGATAAAACAATGAGGCAACCTTGCCATGAAAGTGTGTATTTCTCATTGCATTTTCTTAGCCATTTAGGCACTTAACTTTGGAGGGTGATTATTTCTTTCTCTGAATGACCCACTCACACTTACGGCTGACTCCAAGCAAGAATGCAGAATATTACATATCCTCAGCATTACCATTCTTACCCCCAAAACATAACCCCTTGGCCCATTTATGCTAAATTAACTCCAGTGGTTCCAAGCTATATTAGGAATAATTCTTGCCTAACCACATATTTTCATGGCTTCAAGTGTCTCACCCTTTTCATTCGTCTACGCTGATTTGTTTATTCTTTCATTTGTTCTTTTATGATAATAAAATTAAAAGCACCAATGAAGCACCAATGGCTGAGATATTATTTTAAGAAGTACCAGCATCTATCCATCATAGTGTTATGATGGATATTTGAGTGCTATTCCCATTGTGCTATTCCCACTGACTTAAATCCCATTTTCTAATGGACCTCAGAAGGTCATAGATGTTTTGATCATGAAGTATAGTTCAGAATGCATTCCACTCACATCATTGGTCCATGGTTGGCCTTGTCCATACAATGTGTACATCCTTTCACTACACAGAACGAACCAGCACCAGCACTAAAACACTGACCGGTACTTACAGCTGCTGTGTGCTCTTCCTTCATGAGGAAAATAGGGCACATCTTTATCAATTACGGAATTTGGGGTACAACCTGAAATAGAAATGTAAGCAGCTATTAAAATGAGTGACATGGTCCCGATCTACTATTGAAACCATCCTAAACAATACTAAATCCAACTCACCCTAGACTGTAGAAGTACAAGCCTGTCTCCTCCTTTTGCTGCATTCACGTCCGTGGCTATTGACTCATTTTAAGTCTCTCTCTCCCCTAGGGCAGAGGCCACCTGGTGACCTGGGTCCTTAGAACACGGGGTCAGCTCCAGGGCCCCCAGTGGGAATGTGGAAAGAGGAGGTGAAAGTCATGAGATGTTTTCTCCACTGAACTGCACTGAACCCCTTCCATTTACTTAGAGTTCTAGATATTTATTAACCACCTTGCTTCTCTTGATAAAATAAAGTGGAACCCTCCTCTAAGGCAGAGCGTGGGCATCACCCCTCTCTGACTGTCCAAATGCTGTTCCCCACAGGCAGCACCAGCAGCGCCTGAGAACACGGCAGCAAACACGGATTTCTGGATCCCGTGCCAATGCCACGGAATCAGGAATGTCCAGGGCAGGCCCACTGGCCGCATTTCAACCCGCCCTCCAGGAGGCCCTCAGAGTTTGTCATGAGGACCACTGTTCCACGGTGCCCTGACCGACCACCGTAACACCCTTGAACTGGGGTTTCTTAACACACCGCCCTGTTTCAGAATCACATGAAAAATAATTTCTGCCTCACAATGTTTTTTCTTAATTGAGCTGTCTTCACCTTTTCTATTTATTTACATATCAATTCCCTAAGTAGCTAATGCAGCCACCGATTCTTCCACTTATTCCCTTAGAATAATGCAATCAATTCCCAGGGTCCACTCAAACCCCATAATCAGATTCTCAAAAATGACTAAAATCTAGCTTGGAGCTTATTCCCGAAAGCGTAATGTGCCAGGTCAAAAAGGAGAAATGAACTCCACTAATGCAGAAATGAATCCATCATGAGACATGTTCAGAACGCACTGCTTTCTCGACAGGCATCTGCATGTGGCTCTTTTCCTTCAACTTGCATGGTCTTCGATGACACGAGAAAGAACTGTGACCTCACCTTCCACATGGCGTCCAAACACCTTCGATATCTACGTGGTCCTCTGAACCACTTCACTGAATTAATCACCAGCTCAGACCTCTCCCTCTGGGAAATGTTTATAAGCTGTGGTGCAAACCGAACAGGGACCAGTAAGTCATTCTGAAAGTGAATGTAAGATCCTCAAACTTTTGAAAAATTGTACTGAAACGGACACAGCATATCTTCATCAAAGATTCATACGCTATATATGTACACGGCTGTATAGTAACACCTTTAATTTCCTTCCTTCATTCTTTAATTCATGAGAAACTGGACAAACTATTGATTTTTTTTTTACTAAAAGGAAAGCTGTTTAGCTTCCCAGAAGCCCACGAGAGAAATGTCAGTGTGTGCCTCTGGCTAATTCTCTTAATCGCACGGATATGAGCACATACATTTTTCTCGAGGGGGGCACACCAGGAGCACACCCAACACATGGCGCTTCAACCCACACGCACGCCACTGCTTGAGGGCTCTGTCCCCTGGGAACTGATTAAATTATTAGTCCATTAGTAATTTATGATGAAGAGTCTATCTGGACAATCTGAAGACAGTGACACTGTCTGGTACTAACTGGGCCCAGTTGCTCACTGTCATGGGCGTCAGGGACTGCACACTCTGCACCAACTGTACTGAAGAATGAATGACAAATATACTTGTAAGTCTTTAATTTTGTCACTGGTTCGTATTCAGCCCTCTTTAATGTTGTTAGGTGATTGAATTATATGATTTTTCCTGTTTATTAATTAAAAAGAACACACCTGCTACCCAGACACAACACAAAAAATGAACATCAACAATTACATCTCGCCCTGGGTCCCTTAAGCCGAGATATAAATGCTTCTCCCTATTGTTAACAGACTTCAGTTCTTTGGAAGTGGATCAGTAATGTTTGTTTCATTTTATATGCCATTGTTCTTCCACATCTGGCCATAGTTTTCCTTCATTTACTCATACATTTGTGTAGCTATTATCCTATTAACTTGTAATAAGCAATAAAATCTGTTCTGCCTGGACCTCGGGGATCCTAGGTGGGCGCAGTCCCCCGTGAGTCATCTGTCCTGGTCCTCTTGATCTTGGGTCATTCTAATTCCATTAAGACACTAATCATAAATATATACCCATGACATTTTTTAAAACTTTAATATCCCTAAACATCCAATATAAAATGACTTTCAAAGAGCAAATAGTCTAGATCCGTTTTGCTAATCATTCTCAGTGTTGCATATGCGGAGTAGTGAAAAAACTCGCTTCATTTGAAGCTCTTTCTCATTAATCCATGACTGGCACGGGCTAATCTCTTCCATCTGTCTACAGCATTATTTCCCTCAGCAACTCATCCCTTCCATTAAGCGACTTCAATGTTTCAAATAAGAATTAATCAACATAATGCTTCACATTAATTGCATTTTGGGGCCCTGGTTGACATTTACTGATTACATTTCACACTTTTTAGTAATACAGTGATTACCCTTAAGTAAACCACGAGAACAGAGCCGGGACGCTGACGTGACTCACAAGGTTGCCACGCTCTGACACCCAGACACAACAGCAGAGCCCGAGATCATGGAGGGCCCCGCTCTCAGCCCAAGTGCGTCCGTTTGCAGGAGACAGAGCACAGGAGACGGTTTAAAACAGTGGAGACCTACTATCTATTGATCTTGCAGTTGCCTTTTAATTAGTCACGTAGGGAACTAGCAATTTGGGGATATGGTTAAATTCTCCAAAGAGCCCTGGCTGGGGTGGCTCGGCGGATTGAATGTGGGCCTGAGAACCTAAGTATTTCTGGTTTGATTCCCAGTCAGGGCACAGGCCTGGGCTGCGGGGCCAGGTCCCCAGTGGGGGGCACGCAAGAGGCAACCACACATTGATGTTTCTCTCCCGTTCTTTCTCCTCCCCGCCCCATCTAAAAATAAATAAATAAAATCTTTAAAAAAATAAAATAAAATAAATCCTCCAAAACAAACCAATGTCACCCTAGGTATTTTGATGTGTGGGCAATACTTCACGATCTTCGCTTACTCACAGCTTGGTAGGGATCGTTTCATTGATCCAACAGCAAACAGAAAGAAAACGCATGAACATAAATCACAAACAGGACCAGAGCCCACTCCTGACACCTGTCCAAAGGGCCCCTCCAACAGGGAAACGGACCGGAGACTTCCTTTGTGCTGGGACTCACGGGCAGACACATGTTCATTGTAGGTGATTCAGGCGCCACCAGGAGTCATCGTTGATCCATTAATTTGTCCCTCCTGTTCTTCATGTTTTTCCACATTGCCTACGGAGCAATTCATTCATTAATAGAATTTTAAGATTCTGTTATTCAAAATCTCAAAAAAGCCTTCATATCCCTAATCCATGTCTAAAATCATTCTCACATAAATCTCTCATCTTATTTTTCTTATATCCATTGATCAAGCTAATCAATCTTTATCGATATATAAAATAAAACCCTGGGCTAGAGTTTGCCCTACTAGATAATCTTTCCCACTCTTTAATGATACAGTGAGTACCCTTTAAAACTAAAAACACTGGAACCAAGACAAGAACTTCAATGATCACTGCCATGCTCTCTGCACCCCTACAACAGACAGGTAACCAGAGAGCTCGGGGCCGGGGAAGGCGCTGGGACCGGCTTCCATTCTGAGAGGATGGAGCACAGCAGATGACAGAAAAATAGAAACCTAACCTCCACTGACCTTTAACCTCCACTTTTCATTTATTTAGTCCTTAGGTATTTGTCGAGTACTGGTAATATTTGTTTTCCTCTTAATAAGTTACACATCAGAGTTTTAACTACTCAGAGTAGTATCTACTACTTATCATTTTAAACATCATTTTTAGTGAAAGATGTAATACACTTGCTGCATTTAATATTGATTTCAATATACATTAGTATTGTTTTTCTTTATATTTCAACAATAAACAATACTTCACCCTCTTCATCTGTATTTATCATTTATTTTTATAATATTTTGTAAAATTTACGAACACGAAACCCAGAACAAGGGCTTTCTATATTCCTGAACGTTCCTGATATCTACCTATACAACCTCTTTTTATAGGGAGAAGCAACAAGATTTCTTCATGTCAGATCTCAGAGGCCCTGACACAGCCGTGTTCACCCCATACGATTCACACGCCCCTGTCACCACCAGTACGGGCTGGGCCTCTGCTTCTTCATCCTCACCTACTGTGTTTACTGAGCAAGTCACCAATTCACTAATAGTAGTAGTAATGAAATAAATACCTGGAAATCACAAATACTCAGGGACAAGATCCTTATCACCTCTAATATCTCGCTATAGAAACATTTTCCTCAATGCATAAGCCTCTTTTCTTGATCAACTTCATTGATTGCAAATACTTGTTAGTTGACATAAGGTTTCATGCCAATTCCGTACTTATGCTGGGGGTACGACTAGCTCTCTTTGACTGTATTTAATACTATTTTTAACAGTATAGTAAACACTCTAAACAAACAACCCACACTGAGAGGTGAATTTGACTATTACTCACGTGTACCTGTCCACAGGGCCGACCTGCAGAGCCCCTGCTGGAGGCCAAAGGCTGAATCGGCGCCAGTGAGTCCGCCCTGAGGAGTGCAAAGCAGAGCAGACAAAGTGCGACTGAGAGACGGTACACGGACACACGCATGTCACCTCATCTGCTCAGCCCCTCAGCAACCCAGTACGCATTTACTGGTTTTCTCTCAGGGAACCGCACAATAGCGAACTTGACCCAGAGCGAGAGTAAGAACTCAGATGACTACGGACTGTCCGCATCATCCTCGACCAAAGAGGTCGGGCATTTCAACCACTGATACTTTTCAATGAACTGCAGTTATTTTCAATAAATGCTAATGACTTTTATTGTCCATCCTCTTCATCTTAAAGAATTTGTATCTGTACATTGATTCCTTTTTTGGCCATTTATTATAATAGAAGCAAAATTTCTGAAAAGGAACCAAGAAAATGGTCCTTCTGCCTTCCCCAATGTCTGTCTGAAGGGTCCCTTCCTACAGAGGCAACGACTGCGTTTCCGTGCTGGACCTCAGGGCTTCAGACACACGGTGTCATCGTCTCTCCGAGACTCATACTCCACCAACTGTCATCATCGGTCCGTGTCGCACCTCTTTTCCTCCACAGTCACGTGCAGTAACTGAGTCCTTCACTCCTCCATTTATTAATTTTTAAAACCCCATCATCCACAAACACTAAGGAATAAGCGCAATGAATATTCCACATCCGTTACAGGAAGATTGGACACACTATCTCCCCCTCATTCGTGATCATCAATATTTCATTTGTGCATTGGAAAATACAATGCTTCATAATGGCCCCTATTTATCATTTTCCATGGTTGGTGTCTTGGATTCTATTTTGTACTTTCAGCAAGATAGCGAATACCCTTTTAGAAAATTTCTCAAACAAATACAGGAACTTAACCTTTACTCACATGCATCCCAGCTTCTGCAGAGCACACCGCAAATCTCGTTACCATGGAAAACCCTTAAATTGGCTCGAGCGTGCTGGTTCTGAGGGGTACAAGACGGAGCAGACGATTAACAACGGAAACCTCTCCTCCACTAGCCATTTTCTTTCTCATTTCATTGTTTCACTTGTTTACCTATGTCATTTTCATAATAGCTATATTAAAAAATTAGCATCCTCAGCTCAATACTGACACAAGTTTATAAAACTGAAGGTTACTTATTAGAAAAAGAGGTGATGCCCTTGGTCCATTTATTTCTTAACATCAGCTTCTTCAGTTTATAGTAACAGTGGTTCTTGCCTCAGCACATATGTGCAGAGTTCATAAGGCTTTATCCTTTTCTTATTTAGTTATGCATTTGTTTATTCATTCTACCATTGATTCATTTCTACTAAACCCACAAACCGAAAATTACAAGAACCATCTCCCTGCGTATGCCTCACGCGGATCCAAAGGATCATTTGCAAGAGGAAACAGACTAAAAGTTTTGCGTGGACCTCAGACTTCCAGACACAGAGCAGTCATCGTATAGGACTCATACGCCACCAGTCGTCATCACTGGTCCAGGCGCGGGCCTCTGCTTCCGCATCCGCACCCACGTGGGCTTGCACACTAATTCGCCAATCGACTACCGATAATTAACATGCATCTGCGAAAGGAGAAGAACCTTCAGGGTCAATGTCGTTCTCCTTTAGGACCAATGCCTCATTGATTACACCTCTTTCATTAATCACCCTCATTATTCCAAGGATGGACCAGTCAGCACAATGTTTCAGACACCTCCAACTTCATCACTGGACCACGGTTGTCTCTGCCTTCTATCTAATGCTTTGCGCATTCCTATGGCGACACCCTACGCAGAGTGCCCTACCAGGACTAGAACATGGGTGATCACTCACACTGGCACTTGTGGCTCCTGGGTGGAAGGTGCTGAGCCCGGCAGGTGCTCCCACCCCTTCAGGCGCTTGGATCTGAGAAGCACAAGGCAAAAGAGATGGTAACGTCACTGAGATGCGGCCTGCACCCTGCATTTAGTTGATCACTTAGAATGCAGTGATGGGGGGTAATGCCTCCCACCCGACTTGCCCGGGATCCAGAATGAGGACCTTCCCAGAGCCGAGTCCATTCATTTTCTGTCATGGAAGTCAGTACTTTCAATACCACTGAGCTGTGTTCACGCAAAGATGAAGGGGCATACGCTCTTCATCTCCGTGTCCATAACTATATGCTGAGTCTGAAATCAACCCAGTGGTAACAAAAGGACTGAAATCCATGAAAACTGAGATGATGCACCCTTTATAGTCCCAAACATCAGTCTATTGATGCATTTCGAGCAAAGGCACTGGACTGTGCTTCTTTTGTGTTGGGTGTGAGAGTCACGTGAATGAGGTCTCTGTCTCTCTCTAAATGTCATTCTGGGCCATCCTCACTCTTCCTGGGGTGCTGTGGGGGGACATGTGCCTATGAGGTGAGATGCATGGAGGGGAATGTCACGGGCACTGTGATAGAGCACTGTGCTACTACCGACCTGCTGACGAGCAGGCAGAAAGAGCACTGTCTACCTAATGTGAGGATTGTGGGTCATCGTGTGTGACGACATATGAGTTTGGGTGTCAGGAGCAGACGATGTTGATGACTGGGGAAATTTAATATTTGTGGACTGTAGTTAACCGTGGGTACCGAAAGCACAAAAAGAAAACCCATGGACAAGGGGAGAGATCTACTGTATTTTCTTAAATGTTCCATCATTGATCCACTAGTAATAAATATAAGTTGATAAATTCAGGGTAAGAAAGTGACCTCTGTGTATTTCCAACATCTGTCCATAGGGCCACCTACGCAAGAGGGACCTGACTACTCCCATTCTGGGCAGGGCCTTAGAGTTCCAGACACAAACTATTCACCATCTATGACCCGTACGCCATTGGTCGCTACCATGGATTCAGGTTCAGGTCTCCTTGCATCACTCATGCCTACATTTGTATCAGAGAAATCATTAGTCCATAAATAACAATTAACTGAACACATGACTCAAAAAGAGAAGGACAAGATCCTTCACCACCTCTCACACTGGTCCTTAGCATCATTCCCACGCAGACTGGCTCGCTCTCACATGACTGACCGATCAGCACAGAGTTTCACATCATGTGTATCACTGGGTCACAGTCAACTTTTTTATATTTAATACTTTTAATAATTCAATGAATACCTTTACACAAATGACCCAATCTAAAACAACTTAATAAACTTCAGTATTTTTCAATAAATGTTCATCTTTTCCATTATTCACATCTACATAAGTTCATTAATTAATTCATTTGTTCATCAGTATTAATTTTTAAAACTGTATGATTCATGAGAAACAAGAATAAGAGCAATAAATATTCTACCTCTGTGTATAAACTCATCGGCCACATTGATATATCGTTTATTAATTATCATCAATGTTTAATATACAAATTCATACAGGTAATGGTTTAGACCAATCCCATACTTATCATTCACGATAGTTAGCAACTTGGATTATATTTTATTTCACACTCCTAATGATACAGTGAATATCTGAGGAAAAAAGACATGCACTTTTTCCAATGTTCTACTCACATCGGTCTCTATGCTCACCACCCAAAGAGGCGGCCACAGATGGCGGGCCAGCGCCGGTCCACTCTGGTGCTCGCGTTCTGAGGAGGCAGAACAGACCAGGAGACAACAAGATTGAGACCTCCTCTAAACCAGTCCTTCCCCGCCCCTTATTTCATTTACGCAGTCATAAAGGCACTTATTATATTTCATAACGTACACACACACGTAAGTATAAATAGATATAAATATAATATGATTCCTTAGAAAGGAGGTGATGCCCTTGGTCCATTTATTTCTTCACATCAGCTACTCCGGTTTACACTAACAGTATTTCATGCCTCACCACATATATATTCATAGTTGGTAAGGCTATATATACCCTTGTTTATTTCCTTATATGTTTGTTTATGGTTCTATTTATTGACTCATGCATATAAATAATATAAAAATGCATAAATCCAAAGTTACAAGAACAGCAGTGGGATCATTGGCACGAGAGACAGCAGACTAGATCATTCTGCATGGACCTCAGACTTCCAGACACAGAGCAGTCATCGTATAGGACTCATACGCCACCAGTCGTCATCACGGGTCCAGGCTCGGGACCCTCCGCCCCGTCTCCCGCTGCGTGGCACACACGCGGCCTCAGCCCCGACTGCAGCCTCACTGCTCACCTGTGAGCTGTGGCAGCTCGCGGACCAGGGCCTGGGAATCTTTACCATTGTTCTTTAGAACACTTGGCTAATTAAAGTTTATTCATCATCCTCCTTATTGCCAAGATTCACAGATTAGGCAACGTCATATTTCGTACATTTCAAACTTAATCATTGGGACATGGCTGTCGTTTTTTCTTATGTTGAATATTTTTTCAAAATATACATATAATCCCCTAAACAAACCAAGACAAGTGAGAACTCTGACAGTGACTCACGTTGGACTCCATGCTCCTCCAGGTCAGTGCAGAGATCGCCGACTGAGGCACGAAGCTGGACCCGGTGTGGGGGTGTCCACTCTAAAAAGTGAAAAGCAGAGTGGATGACGCATGACTAAGGCATTTTCTGTTTCAGTCCTCGATTCTACAGTTCACTACTTGGTGATTTAAGTTACATATTAATTTGAGATAATATAGATTTGATTTATTCTTAACAAACATTAGACTTTCCACTAACGCCAAACAAGAATATTGGTCATTGTTTATATTATCGATAACATCCTTAGTGAAAGGTAATACCTTTGATCCATGTATTTCTTTGGTGACTTAGTCTTTCAATATTTATTAATATTATCTCTTCCCTTACTACATTTGTATCATAACTGGATAATGCTTCACCTTCATCTTTATTAATAAATTGATTCTTTTATTCATTTATTATAATAGACTCAAAATCCATAAACTAGATCCTTATCAAGTTCTAAGCCTGTCTGTAAAATTATTGCTAACTTGGGTAATAAATAAGAATCCTTCGTAGGCCGGACCTCAGAATACTGGAGGCTTCATCACCACCTACTCAATACAGCACTAGTTATCTTCATCGGTCCAAGTTGGCACTTATTTTATCCACTCTCACTTATGCTTGTTTATTAACTCATCAATTTATCTGATGATAATAAATTTAACTACGAATCTCAACAAAACCTAGACCATGAGCCTTAACTAGTTTTACATCAGCCTGTAGAGTCATCTAGTTCAAAGTATGTCATTAATCACTAATCGCTCTCAAAGCTTCATATAGGTATTAATAAATAGAATGTCCTATTCCAAGTTCATATTTGCCAGTAGAGCGCGGCTGGCTTTCTTCGGTCAGACTTTGCAAACACGGAGTCTATACCCGTGAAACTCACGTTTCCATGGGCCAAACACAGAGACAAGCAGACACCTGGCGAACCCAGAGGAAGCCTCATCTCAGCTCTGGTGCCTTCTTTCTGAGAAGTTCCAAACACAGAAGGAGGAAAAAAGTGAGACTCTCTGCACTCACTCCACTTTCCACATTCAATGTCCTCACTTAAATATTTACGCATTTACCTAACTTACAATGGTTCACCCTTACACATTACTTATGTGTGTTTGTAATTCCCTCACTGATCTGTCTATGCCAATAGAATCCTCATCCGGGATCCCATCAACCAAGGACATAACCTTTGCATGTGACCAGCGTCCGTCACTACGGCCACTTCCAACACAAGGTACGGATTAGATTTCTCTACTGTTGGACCACAGAGTTCCTGACACAGCATTCACCACCCACGACTCATATGCCACCAGTCACCATCATTTGTCCAGGACTGGCTCTCTTCTTCTCCATTAACTTACTGATCAGTTCATGATTTCACTAATAACTAAATAAATAACTGAATCACAAAAACTTAAGAGCAGCCTGGCTGGTGTAGCTCAGTGGATTTAGTGCCGACCTGCAAACCAGAGGATTGTGGTTCAATTCCCAGTCAGGACACGTGCCTGGGTTACAGGCCAGGTCCCCGGTAGGGGACACATGAGAGGCAACCACACACTGATGTTTCTCTCCCTCTCTCCTTCCCTTCCCCTCTAAAGATAAATAAAATATTTTGAAAAAAACCTTAAGAGCAAGATCTTGAAGTATCTTCAATAACTATGTCATCATTTGTGGCCTTGATTATATCTTTAATTAATCATTGCTATTTTTGCCAATATGGACTAATCAACACAATATTCAACACATTTGTCATATGTTAGTGTGACATAATGACAAAGTCATATGTATCACTAAAGCACAGGTGGCCTTCTTGGATTCTTTTAACAATACAGTAAATATCCTTTAAAAACTACCCGAGCCAAGACTAAGACTGACCACGCCCAATGGTCTCCACCCCTCCTCACACCCTGAGGTTAGCCACAGAGCTCGCGCCACCCAGGACGCTGCCGTCAGCCAGATCAGCCAGGAGCGCTCCTTCCGAGGGTGCACAACACAGCAAATGGCAAATGAAAAGACTGGCATATTCTCTCTATTTATCCTGAATTCCTCCTATCGTTTTAGTAGCCATGTAAGTCTGTACTAAACTGTGCTATGTTTTTCTTGAGAAAACAATATTAAGGTCGGCACTGACCAAACAAGAACGTGTACTATTATCTGTGTATCATTCCTTAGTTAGAGAGGGGATATCTTCCTTCAGACGTTTATTTCATAATGGCCTTCCGTGTTCTTTATATATGTTAACAGTATTTAAGGCCTCGTGATATATTTTCATAATTAGACGATCCTTCACCCTCTTTATTTATTCCTATATTTGTATTAATTCTTCCTATTTATAATAATAGAACCATTTACATTTTACATTAATTAGTGGAAGAATAAACTGTATAAACGAATGAATGGTCTTGCTCTTTTCTCCTTGGTTGACCACAGATGTGCTGAACTGGCCCACGCGTGACCTGCACTCATTCTATTTGTACCTGGAGCTGTTCACCCCCTTGCAGTGGGGTCGGCACCTGCGAAGCAGTTCCTGTGACTGTTACTTACTTAAGTCTCTGCAGTCCTGTCACTGAATCCTTCTGTCCATTCTATAAAGTACAAAGCAAATAGAAAATATATTAGAGAGATCAGCCTAAAACTCAGATTTTAAAAATCGACCTAAGTCAACAATAATTGATTGGGAATAACCCTTAGTGCATGTTATATATTAAAACTCCGAGTGACTCATTGATTGACTCGACTATTAAATTTAACAGATACAATGAACACCTTTGAAAACAACCCCACACAAGAGAAGAACTATGAGCATCACACGCATCTCTTTCCGTGTCCTCTACCCGGCAGCTGAGCAGCGCTACTGTCTTTCTAAATGAATCTTGCTTGGAAAGAACGAGGTTCATCTGAATTCTAGATTTGAGCACCTTCTCTGCAATGGTCTACGCTAGTCCGACCTTTGTGTATGTGTGTGTGTGTGTACCTTTATCTTCCATCTTTTGAGAAATCACCCCAACAAGCCAAAACAAGGAGACTCCGCCTGCCCCCGCCCACCACTGCAGAGCCGTGCGAGCCCAGGCCTGTCTCGTTCATCTGGAGAGCAACTGTGTGTGGCCGCGTCAATCACTCTCCCGTCTCATGGCCCATGCTCCTCGGTGGCCCATGTTCTGTCTTCTTTCAAATAATTGATTAAAATATTAACTTACTCTTTTATACATTAATAGTACTAACATTTATGACTCCACAGAAACAGGACGATACTCGTGCCCATCCACATGTTCATTAGCGCAGAAAAAAGATCAGATAATCTTTTCTTGTATTTAAATGAAAAAATAGTGAAGATCATTCAATTAATCACAACTGATCATGTGACCCATTCAGCATAGGTTCATGTGTAAGTCCTGTCTCAATGGTGCACTTATTTAATCCATAATTAATTTAAGCCCTGACTGATGTGACTCAGTGGACTGAGTGCCGGCCTGCGAAACTAAAGGTCACCAGTTCAGCTCCCAGCCAGGGCACAGGCCTGGGTTGTGGGCTGAGTCCCTAGTTGGAGGTGAGCAAGAGGCAACCACACATACATGTTTCTCTCCCTCTCTTTCTCCATCCCTTCCCCTTTCTCTAAAAATAAATAAATAAAATCTTTTAAAATAATAATAATAATTCATTTAAATTGATTTTTGCCCTTCTCTTAAAAAAAACAAAAAAACCAACTACCCAACCCAGAAAAATAACCTGGGCTCTTACATGCATTTATCTAAATGCTCTTTACCCACAGAGTCAGCTTTAATCAACTTATTTCTTTAACTGGAACTTGGGGCCTCAGAAATGCTCTAACAGTGATGTTTACATTACATACTCCCACATGGGAACCAGGAATAACCCATTCTGTCTTCACTCCTTTGTATGTTTCTTTATTTACTCACTCACTGATGTAGCGGAAACACAAGACAACCTGCTGACATTCATAGTCCCCAGTAGGGGTACACGTGCCGTGCGGCTCAGAGGGGGGTCTTTCTGTCGGTGGACCTCAGAGTGAAGGGTTTAATCAAAATCCTCGATTTCAGACACCCCAGGGTACTCATCATTGATCCAGGCTAAGCAATCTTTTTCTTCATTTATACCCTGGTTTATTGATCTATTCATTGATCCACTAACAGTAATAAAATCAATATTCGTAATTTTTGTTAAGAAAGCCGAAAACACGATCCTTGAATAAGACCAAAAGGCTCTTTCCCCATAAACTCGATCTTTTCTCAATAGACTAGGCTCTTTCCGCAGCGGCCATCAGTGAGGCCACGGATGGGTCAGTTACCATCCGAGCTTCCCACTCGCGTCCTGTTCCCACTGCCCTGCATCTCTGCTGGACCCTCCCTCAGCAGGGAGCAGGCCAGTAGAACTGGTGTGATAATACGAATGTGCTGTAACCGGGCTCCCCAGCACAGTCACCAATAACCACATGCCCTGTAGGTAAGGACTTCGAAATTCGGCCAGTGCACCTGAGGAGCTAAATTTAGCGTTCATTTGACTTATTTTAAATTTCAACACCCCATGTGTCTAGACGCAACCACACTGGACAGTGCAACCCCAGATTTTATTACTGGATAAACTGTTTAAACCAAATGCAGTGCCAAGATAACATGGATTATTAATCAGCTTTGAAAATGCCCAAAATGCCCTGGTCCTTATTTTGAACCACAACCATACTGAATTGGACTAACCACCATCCTTGTTTCATGACACATTCATATTATTGGCCTGTGTGTGGGTTGATTTAAATAACTCAATGAACACTAAAAGAATGCACCCCGACTGACGAGATCTTCTGACCATCTTCTACTCTGGTCTTTAGCTTTCTTACCCTGACAGCCAAGGTCTCCGCCAGCAGACTGGTCGCACCAACCACGGCCTTCCATCTGTGGAGTCAGACAAACACCAGTGTTCAAAGTAATGAACGTTCCAAATTTGCACTGACGCAACGACATTAGCTGTACAGTCCTACATTCGTCGTGACGTGGATTTGAGCCTCACATTTATCACGAAAAATTCCACCTCTGTCCATAAAGTAAAGGTGCCCACACCTGGATGCTCGCGACTTCTGCTACAAGCTCATATCCGTGAACGAAAACAGGAGGCTACTTCATAGTTAACGGACCTCAGACTTCCAGATGACTTTAATCAATACTTTTGATTCAGACACCCTCCAATCTCATCATTGGTCCGGCTTTGGCCCCCTTTTCTCATCCATTCACACCTTCCCTCCCCTGTGACTCGTGAAGTCCCAGGGACAAGGTCCCTGCTGTGACAAAGAGCGGCCATCTCTCTGAGACCAGGTCTCAGCACAAAGCTGCTCCATGCGCTGCCAGCACGGACAACGGCCCACGACTCGGGCTGTGGCCATGTCACTTGGCCAGCTTGAAACATGGTGTCACAGGCCACCCCAAACCGCGGTGTACCACACAGGTGGGACCCAGATGTGCTCCCCCTTCTAGCGGCTTCCTCGGAACCATTAACAGCCTGGATTCCGACCAGTACGGACATGCTCGCACCGATGTGGGCCAGAAGCGATGTGGAGCAGCGAACGGTTGTGAACCTGGAGTGCCCTCCATCGCTCAAAAGGAATGGGTTTCAGTTGTGCTGAAATGCAGTTCTGCTCCTAGGCCCAGACACTTCCCCATCCCTGTTCCACACTTGGCGTTCTTGGCCTGTAATTGTTTCTATAGCCTTTGCGGCATTGCCGGTGACCACACGTGACCAAGCCATACCAGGGACAGAAACTTTGTCACTTACATGGCTCCTTGGCCAAGACCCCGTCGCTGGGCAAGGACTGCCTCCAGTGAGCCGTGTTCGTTCGTGGCATGTCCAAAGGTGGGTTTGTAAAAGAATGGAGAGGGGGAATTTAGATTTTGAAACAGAAGTAAGTCGTCCATCCCAAAATTAACTATAAACATCGGCCGGTGCCACGTGCTCATCGTCAGTCCAACAGCTGTACCCTTTCCCCTCTGACTTCATGTTTAGTGGGAAATAACCTGATGAAGACCTTTCAGTGGCCCGCCTGAGAGAAGAACCACAACTGTTACTAATTCCTGCCTATAACCCGCACCGACCAGCAAAAACGCGTCGCTTTCTAACGGGGAAAAGTCCACAAAATGAGATTATGTCAACTGGCAACCTGACCGAGGGGCCACGCTGGGTTTAATCTCACCTATTTGATGGTTACCTTATTTATTCACTTCTCTAATCACTTTTTCCCTAAAGACAACACAGAAACAGTAAAGCCATTAGCTGCCCCGATGTTCTGACCCATCCATGTGCTCCCTGAGGAGGGGCAGCCTCCAGGCTCCTCTGTTTGAACTGAAAACTTCAGAAATGTGTTAACGCTCACCCTTAGTTCATCAGCTCCAGGATGAAGTGCAGCCCTTCTCTTTATTCACACTTTATTCACACACTGATGTCCTTATCATAATCGAACCCATGTTCACGAACAACAGAAGATCAAGAACCCACCCCTGAATTTTCCTCGCCCCTCTCGGCACACTTCCCGCCGACGCAGCGGACCTCGGGGTCGCAGACGGGGTTTGACCAGAGCACTATGTTCAGGAGCCCCACACGCACACCCCCCACTGATCCCGACTTGGTGTCCCTTCCTTGCATACGTTGCTCTTGACCTATTCATTGGGTCAATAATAATAATAATAATACAATCCATGTCCATGAATTAGGAAAATAAAATCAAGACCCTTGAAGGCATGAGCACGTCTGTGAAACCTAATTTCCCACAGACCGGAACGCTGGTCCTCTACACACCGTGGTGCGGCCAGTACACGTCCATCCACGTCCCGGCACCCCACCCATCCCGTGTCCACCACTGGGCCGTGCTTGGGCCTCTTTCAGACACACCCATGTTTTCAAGATGGTACAATGAACTAGCATTTTACCCAAACTAAGAAAAAAATTTCCATTTCCTCATGGTGGCCCCCCTGCACAGGTTTATCATCGACCACAGGGTGATAGAGAAGAGTTTCAGTCCATTGTGGTACGAAAATAATAGGAAATATACTGTTAAGGTGCTCTGAAAATGACCAAAACGCCTTTTGTCTTTGTGTCCCAGTGAATTCAGCAAAGCTGAAATGGATTCATCATAATTCTGAATTCATAGCACATTCCAATCAGTGGTCAGGGCAGGACCACCTCTGACCCCTCTGTGCCTGTGGCCATTCATTGCTTCGGAACACTCAGCCAATGGCCACGCCCCCAGGGAGGAACACGCACTTTATCACATTAACTTCTTTCTCTCTCTACCTAAAGAAATACAAAGCAAGATCATCACCACAAGATAATAATCAAATCCGATAGTGTGTTCATTCTAGGGAGTAAAAAACAAATTTTAAAACGAATTGGTCTTCATGTAGCTATTTTACATAATCAATCATCAAGCAACCATAAGCTTTCCATCCAATTCTCAGCATCTGGAACAACGTGTGATTTTGTATTTTAAACAACAGTGAGCACCGGTGAATTGGGAAGTAAACGAAAATAACTGTGATTACCAGGGCTGCGCGCCTGCATAGGTCTCCCACAGGTGAGGCTGCGATCCTGTGTTCTGCACACCGTGCAGAACGGGAAACAGAGACTCGGTTCACGGCACGCGCTCACCAATGGCCCAGCCCAAGCCTAACCGTGCTTCGTTTGCTCATTCACTCACTTGCTTTACTTAATTACTGTGGGTCAAAAAGACCATCCTTCATTTTTCTAGAAGAATTCCAAAAACTATAAAGGACCATCATCAAAGCAAAACGGAAACACCATTATTTGCCGATGTCTATCTGCACCAGTGGAGAGGCCGAAAACTCTTTGTCTTCCTGTGGACAGGAGCTGTGTAGAATGCATCGTGATGTTTACGCCCAAGTGCATGCTCCCATTGAGGTATTGTTAGCTGCCTGAAATATAAATGTATATACTGGTTCACGTAGAATTATACCTCAATGTATGCGAGCCCACCCACACAGGCTAAGTACCTTGAATAATATTTACATAGGTCCTGATGTCATCAGCCCAAAGAATAGCAAACTGGTTCCTTTAACGTATGTTTGCTTACACAAAACTGCATTAAAAGACGGCATTAATCACGACTGTGTTTGTATAAAACAGTCTCATCACTGCTCCGTGTTCTCCCACTCAGTCACATAGTTTAGGCAGTCAACTATTTATGTAAATGTATTTCCCCTTCCTTCATAAAACGACCCCTTGGCCACCTGCCCCCACGCAGAACCGAAACCCTGGCTCTAAACCAGTGATTTACTGGGTCTGAGAATCTACTGGGTCTGAGAATCTCAACATTGTCTTAGTGATGTTCCGAGTTTCATTAAATGCCTTAGAAGTACACATATCTCTCTTACCTTTCATTCATTTACAAATTTCTTTATTTGTGGACTGATTTCATTATAATGATGCAGTTCATACCCCAAGCCACAGAGCCCCAAAATAAGGCTCTGCGTGCAAATTAGGGGCCCATGAGGTGCTTCACCGTGATGGGCCCGAGTGTCCAGTGCATTAATCACAAGTCTTACTTCAGCAACCCCATGACATTTGTCACTGGTCCATGCTGGGAATTTTTTTAAACCGACTGACTAATTTTCTGATTCACAAATAATGATACAATGGCAAAATTCCCAAACGGGACCCTTGAATTTTAGGCTCCTGCCCCACAAGCCAATGAACCACGTGACAGCGCCCGAGCCACACGCGTGGAGGCAGCCCCTCCCCTGCGCTGCGTGTTCTTCCTGTGTGGCCTCCTCTTACTTAGTGTGTCCATATGTCAAAACCATTTCAATGCCAAATAACGAAGCCAGCCTCTGCAGTTCCCCCCGAAGAGTTCCCCGCCAGCCCCGGGCGTCAGAGATCACCTCAGCCAACCGCGGCTGCGAGTCAACTGCCCTGACAGTGAATTAAGTGACGTCTTTTAAAATCGTGTCAGTTGTACTGATTTAGATTAAACATAATTTTTGGTTTATAACACATTCCCATCACTGGCCCACACTTGGAGTGTTTAATGTATGGAGCACAGAATGATTACTTTAAAATTCTGAGGATAACATCCACGAACAAACATCCCAAACAAAGAATGTAAACTAAGGGACTTATACTAGTCTTTATGTCCCCTGCTCACAGTGACAATTCGGCTGTCCTCACTTCCCTCTGCAGTGGGGAAAGCAGGTTCGGACCAGATTTACGCTTTTTTAATGGCTGTTAGGCAGATCTGGACAACAATAAACTGGCTCAAAAATGCCATTTTTTTTATTCATCCAGTATTGATTTTTAGCTTTAAAAAGCATAAAAAAAGTCCACCACCTAGCCCAAGGTAAAGATCTATGATGATTACAAATCTCCACCTACATGAACATCTATTAAAAAGTTGGTTATTTGATGGATTACTGACACAAACACTTTCTCTTTTCTTCACATAAAAAAAAAACTATCCAGCAAACTCCAAAAAGTCAAAGCACTGCCTCTGAACTACAGACGTTAATATGTCCTCTGTGAAGGAGGATGACAGACTAGACCTGTTCGTTTTACTTCGGAATTATGTTCACATTCATGGTTATTTGACTGGACTCTCCTGGTTGTTGCACGAGCAAAGCCTTGTAGCCTTTCAGATACACATTTCTTTATTTACTCATCCATCGATTCCCCTGAAATAATACAGTCTATACCCATGAGCCGCAAAAGTCCAGAAACAAGCTTATTGAATTTTCCTAACTCTGCCTCTTCGCTAATTTCTGCGGGGCATATTGACGGGCTCCCCCTCCGTGACGGACCTCAGACCCACATGGGGGGCTTAATCAGAGACATGTGTGGGTTCAGACCCCACCACCAACACTCCTCATTGATCCAGGCATGGCTTTCTATGGCTTCCCTCATTTATGCCTTTTGGAACGGATCAATTCATTCACAGATTCACGAATAATAATTATGTCGTCAATAAAACTCTAACGACACATACAAAAAACTGAGAACAAGAGCCTTGAACGCAGCCCAGACCCGTTCCAGGCCCTGTTCACAGACTCTCAACCACCATCCGCGACAAGCCCGCTCTGCCAGCGGGGTTCATTCATCAGCACCGTCCCTCCCGCTGCTCCCTTACCCGGGTCAGTGTCCCCTCTCCTCTCGCTGCATCTGTCTGCACTTACAACTCTCCGTGCTCGTGGCCCACGACTGACAAAACCGGCATCTGCCATCTTCGAAGGGACTCCAGCCTCGGAGTTAACAACTCAGGTCTTTGTCAGCAGAGGAACACCTTGACAAAGGCGACCAGACACCCAGTGGGAAGTCACCCTGCTTTGGAAGTATGTGACAGTCCTGCCGCACTGTCCCGAAGCTCCTTAGTGGCGCTGAATCGAGTTAATTGGAAATTTTAGTCACAACACATCGAACATGGGCTCACGATTGCCATTTCTTAACTCCATACATTATTGAACTGTTTATTTTATTGAAATAATTTCGTGGGCACCTATGCGTAACCCCATCTAAGCTCGGAAGTGATATTCGCTCACATCGGCCTCTGTGACCCCCGCCCCCGTCCCAGCAGTGACAGGCACGGTCCTCACCACGCAGGAACGATTAAATCGGGGGATGCCCAGTCTACATAGGAAAAAAGAGCCTATATGTAAAAAATGATGACGGAGACTTTTCAAACTGCAATTTGTCAGAAAGACTAGACTCATCATAAACCCATCGAACACTCTCGTCCTGTTCCAGGAACGGCCGTAAAAACCCCTTTCTTTACTTCCACTTAAATTTTACTATGAAATGCCATGAACGCCATTGCTCAATACGAAATACATACACAGGGAGCAAGATCACACTTCGGTTGGATTTATTTATACAGAAGTGAACACATTTAATTTGTTTCACATACAGTCTCTGTATTTATCGGTTCGTTCATTAATCTATTTTCTTAGGGAATAAAAATGCCATGTCCTCATTTTCCTAAAGAAGACCCAACATGGTGAAACAGCAACCGAGAATCAAATACAACGACTTGGGGAGGTCTGGGTGCACCTTTCAAAGCTCAGAGGAGCCCAGAATTCTTCCTAGAATGGGTGTTACTGGGGAACAAGATGAATCAGTGTCCTCCCACCAACATAACTGTTCCTCACCGGTCAGCGGTTTGCTGGACGTTTAACAACAGATTGTGATATAAATTATACCTCCTCTCTCTTCAACAGAGGCACCGGGACCTGGGACCTAGGACCCGGGACCTTATTACCAGACAAAACCACGCAACGTGGCCGTCCAGAGTCATGGACTTGCTTCCGGCTCAGTGTTTTCATGAAAACCAGCAGAAAGGATAGGCACGAGGGCTGCCACGCGAACGCTCTCTCGCCTCCCTGGTCTCTGCTTGGCCTGCACTCGGGCGGACAATCCCCCGGCCTGCAGCCTGTTTCCTTTGCCTGAACTGCCCTGGCGGCCCACCGCCGGCCCACCCCCGGCCCACCGCAGGCCCGGGCTGCCCTCTTCCCAGCAGGAAGAGCCACACTGCTAATTCGGAGGAAGTCGGGCCTTGGCCAGCTTTGAGTGATAATCCATGTTTCATCAAATGCCTTTTTAATCAGTGATGAACTGTCCTTTTTTTAAAAATTTTTGAAGACATTTTACTTAATTTGAAGTCAGTATGATAGTAAAACTTAACTCCATTCAAAGAATCACAAAAGGCCAGCCCAGCACAAGGTGGGCTCATCTCCCACACAGGGAATGATGGCGTGGACCTCAGAGTTGCGTGTGGGTTTAATCAGAACTCCTGTTTCAGATACCCCCATGTTGCTCATCACCGGTCCAGGCATGTTCTTATTTCTTTGTGCTTTCACTTATTTATTTATTTGCCCATTGATCCATGAGTCACAATGAAATCACAAAAAATCACAAAACGCCAGGAACAAGATGTTCTCATTACTGACCCCTTCCCCGTGAAGCAGAGACTACATCTCACTGTCCAGCGGACCTCAGAGAACATGTGTGATCAATCAAACCCAGGCTTCAGACCGAACCCGCGTTCACCGTTCAGTGCTTCTGTGGTGTTCTCCTATTTAATTAGCCCTTGTTTTAAAGACGGTTCAGTGAGAAGTGGTGAAGCCGCTGCCTTTGATCCCTTCTCAGACACAAGGCCCTCCCTCGGCTCTGGGCCGCCACACGCGTGGGCAACGGCCCAGACCATACAAACATGCTCGTGTTTGAGTCGTTTGTGGAGGAAAATAAAATGTAATATGAAATCGTTCTAAAAACACAAATGAAATGGTCCCTATTTTTTAAATTTTTATGTATTTTAAAAATTTTTAATTCTACATTGGCCTTTTTGTTGTTGTTGTTCAAAGTTTTCTGCCTTCTCCCCCCCCACCCCGCTATTTTCTTTTTAATTCCCTCAGCTGTCCCAAATTAGATTAAATCTAGTTTCTGACTCAGAACATATTCCCGTCACTGGGACATATGTGGGGACTTTTATTTCTTTTATACACATTGATTCTTTTGAAAATCCACTAAACGCTTGTGAACAAAACATTCTAACCAAGGATGGGAACTTCGAGTCTCACTTACTATGGTTTTTACCCACAGAGCTGACTGCCAAGACTGTGTTTCTTAGAAAAAGACTGAGTCTGCTTTCCCAGTGTGTTAAGAATGTAGTCACTCTGTCGACGACAAAGGAGAATTAACCTATATTTTATTGTATATTAATTACATGGAACTAAGTAATCACGAACTTTAGTTCTTTCTACTTAGTCAACTACTTTACTTTTTACTTTTGAGGCATATAATAGCCACTGTTGAACCTACATTAGAATAAGAACAATATCTTTTAAAAAATCTTTATAGTTTTTAACAATTTTAACAGAGTAAAAGATCATTTTAATGAATCTTACTTTTGCAGAATGGGTTATACTTAAATCCTTATTTCACATTTTCAATAACTCTTGCTTGATTCTATTTTATATTTTCATTTATTTGTTCACTTATTCATTTAGTTAATTACTTATGAAATGATTTAGCTATATGCTCATTATATAAAAAAAGTCAAATTGGTAAACCAGCCAGTAATCCAGGACAGAAAAACTATTAAATGCAATAATCTACATGCCACTTTATCAAAAATGGGAACAGGCCAGGAATTTTTGTTTCTATAAACATCAAGAGTGAAACTCCAAGTTAATAATGATCATTGATTCACGCAAGTGTGGTACTCATGAATCCGTGCTTTCTCTCATTCTAAAGAATTGATAGGACTTCATTCACTAATTATAAAAATACTTCAATATCTGTGAATGCGAGTGCACTAGAAATAAATCCTGAATAATGGTAACATCTACCTATGTACTTGTTTGTCACAGAAATAAGTCAGTGAGTCTTGGGGGCGGTGATAAGACGTAGTGACCACACCTGGCCAATCCCAGCACTTCCCGTGTGTCACACTGTCAACATGTGTCCATTGCTGCTTCTCATTCGATGAGATATTTACTCAATCACATACCCATTCCTGTAAATATTTCCTGCTTCTCTTATTTACAAAGTGGATGCAGCACAAGTAGTGCATGGAGGGAAAGTTATAGCATTAAATGCATATATTAGAAAAGAAGAATTAAGTGTCAGTTGATAGATGAATGGACAAAGAAATTGTGCCATACACACATAGTGGAATATTATTCAGCCGCTAAAAAGAGATTCTGTCATTTGAAACAACATGGAGGAACCTGGAGGACATTACGCTAGCCGAGATTAGCCAGACACAGACAGTAAAATGCTGCATGATCTCACTTATACGTGGAATCCAAAACAGGTGGCTTCGCTGCAGCAGACAGTGGAACGGTTATCACGAGTGAGCAGATGGAGGGAACAGGATGTGTGTCAGGGCACAATGTTGCTGCTACACAGAATGAATAAGTTCTGGAGATCTAGTAATGTGCAGCATGATGACCACAGTTAATAATATCACATTGTATACGGGAAACTGGCTACCAGAGTAGGTTACTGGTGCTCCTATCACAAAAACAGGAATGAAAGAAACCACATGAGGAGACAGAAACATCAATTAGCTTGATTAGAGTAATTATGGACTATGTATATGTGTGTCAAAATACCATATGTGCACCTTAAATATCTATAATTACTTTTTTAAAAATTAAAAATCAGCAATCTAAGTCTCTACTTTATTGAACTAGAAAAAGAACAAATTACATCTGAAGTGGGCGTAATAAAAGAAATGATAAAAACTAAAGCAGAATCTTCTCTAACCATAATTATATGAACCTGAAAATCAATCAAGAGGAAAAAAAACTGAAAAACACACAAACATATGGAGGCTACATAATGTGTTACTAAACAATGAATGGGTTAACAATGAAACCCAGGAAGAAATCAAATGATACCTTGAATCAAAGAATGCAACACCCCAAAATCTATGGAGCAAAGCAAAAGCAGTCCTAAGAGGGAAATTCATAGCATCACAGGCCTACTTCAAGAAACAGGAAAAATTGCAAATAAACAATCTACATTTAAGCCTAAAGTGAGTAAAGAATGGAAATAATAAAGATCAGAACAAATTTTAAAAAATAGAGTCTAAAAAAATACAAAAGATCAGGCAAACCAACAGTGGGTTCTTTGAAAAGATACATTAAGACTGATAGACCTTTAACCAAACTCATCAAGAAAAAAAAAAGAGAGGACCCAAATAAACAGAAATGAAAGAGGAGAGGTAACTACTGACACCACAGAAATACAAAGGACTATAAGAAAATATTAACAACTACATGCCAAAATATTAGACAATTCGGAAGAAACAGATAAGTTATTTGAAACACATGATTTCCCAAAAGAGAATCAAAAAGAAACAAAATCTGAACAACTGATTACAACTAATAAAATTGAAGCAGAAGTCAAAAAACTTTCAACAAACCAAAGTCCTGGCCTGAATGGCTTCATGGGTGATTTTACCAAACATTCAAAGGAGAACTAAGACCTTTCCTTCTCAAACTATTCCAAAAACTTAAAGAGGATGAAGGACTCCCAAGCTTATTTTATGAGGCCAGCATTATCCTAATTCCAAAGCCACATAAAGACGCTACAAAGCAGGAAAATTATGTTAGTATCTGTGATAAACATAGATCCAAAAATCATCAACAAATATTAGCAAACTGAATGCAGCAATATGTTAAAAAAGACCATTCATCCTGATCAAGTGGAATCTGTCCCTGGAATGCAAGGGTGGCACAATATGCACAAATCAATTACTTTCATACACCATGTAGATAAAATGAAAGCTAAAAATCATATGATCATATGTCTAGATGCAGAAAAAGCTTTTGACACAATCCAGCACCCATTTAACATTAGAACTCTCAGCAAATAGGGACAATATCTTGAAATAACAATGATCATATATGACAAACTCACAGCTAACATGGAGAAAACCAAAAGCATTTCCCTTAAGATCAAGAACAAGACTTTGTCATTCTTACTCCACATGGTATGGAAGTCCTCGCCACAGCAATCAGACAAGAAGAAATAAAAGGCATCCAAATTAGAAAGGAATAAATGAAGCTAACATTATTTCCAGATGACATGGTACTGAATATAGAGAACTCCACAGATTTCACTAAGAAACTACTAGAATTAATCAATAAATTCAGCAAAGTACCAGGTTACCAAATAAATATCCAGAATTTGGTTTTATTTTTATACACCGATAATGAACTATCAGAAAGGGAAATTAAGAAAACAATCTCATTTACAATTGCATCCAAAAATATCTTGAAATAAATTTAACCAAGGAGGTGTTAAAAGACCTGTACTTGAAAAGTATAAGACACTGAAGAAGAAACTGAAGAACATACAAATAAGTAAAAGCATATACAATGCTCATGGATAGAAAAAAATGTTTACATTGTTAAAATGTTCATCCTACCCAAAGCAATCTATAGATTCAACATAATTCTTATCAAAAACACCAATGATGTATTTCACAGACATAGAACAAATAATCCAAGAATTTGTATGGAACCAGAAAGACCCCAAATAACCACTACAGACTTAACAGGAACAAAGTTACAGAAATCACATTGCCTGATATCAAACAATACTACAAGACCATAGTAATCAAAACAGCGTGGTACTGCCATGAAAACAGACACCTAAATCAATGAAACTGAATAGAGAACCCAGAAACAAACCCACACCTTAACAGTCAATTAATATTTCACAAAGGAGTCAAGAACATACAATGGGGTAAAGACAGTCTATTCAATAAGTGACATTGGGAAAATTGGGGAAATGCATGCAAAAGAAATGAAACTAGTTAGATCACCTTCTCACACCATACACAAGGCATTTAAGACTCAAAACTATAAAACTCCTAGAAGAAAATACAGGCAAGAGAATCTCAAACATTTTTCTTGGTAATATTTTCTCTGACATATCTTCTTGGGCAAGGGAAGCAAAAACAAATGGGACTACATCAAACTAAAAAGATTTGCAAAGCAAAAGAAACCATCCACAAAACCAAAAGACAGCCTATTCAATGAGAGAACACATTCCCCAATGATACATCCATTTAGGGGTCACTATCCAAAATTTATAAAGAACTCATACAACCCAACACCAAAAAATCCCCAAACAATCCTATTAAAAAATGGGCAAAGGACCTGAACAGACACCTCTCTAAAAGGGACATACAGATGGCCAATAGACATATGAAAAGATGCTCAAAGTCACTAGTCATCAGAGAGATATGAATTAAAACCGTAATGACGTATCACCTCACACCTGTCCGAATGACTATTTTGAATAAATCAACA